ATTCTAGGTATGAAAAGATTTCAATTGAGTTAATCTCAAATATTTCAAATCTTCTATGACATAAAGAAGATATGTCTTCAAAGAACGTAAGAATTCTAATTAAGCCAACTCTACGTCAGAACTCTGAAGAAGTTATATGATAGAACTCGTACTCTTAACCACTTAAGACAAATTAGTATAATCAACGGTTCTGAAAGGTGTCTTCCTCTGCTGTGAACATAGTGAAAGAACAGTCAAAGAACGTGTAGAATGGTATATGTATAAATATTAAAATATTGAAAAAAAAATTGAAACAAACGAAATAGATTCAACGGTAATGTAGAATTTTTTCAATTTTTAATTCAATTTAGAACAAATAAAATTTGAAATATACATCTATCTAAATAATAATATTGTAATATTAAAATTTTTTCAGAATTTACCAAGATTTGGAATATTGAAAAAAAAATGGAATGGACATTTAATCTAAACATAAGGTTATGTTTACAATAATTGGGTATTACATATTCACAGAAAAGTCGACTTCCGCTTATTTGCTCAAACGTTCGATTTAATTTCCTCACGGCTTTCACGTGTGAGCAAAACTGTTACTAATTGTGCGGAAATATTCACAGTTGGTTTCCTTCCGTCTGCTGTCCGCTTGGTTTCCTTGATCACGGTTATGGAATTTTATTGATAAAATTTTCTATCGTTGTAGCAATCGTTTTTTCAATTCGTGGCAAAGTTGTTCCGATCGTAGGGGCGCTTTCTCGCTTGGAGAAAACCAACCTTTCGATAAGTATTCACCATGAATAGTTTCATGCGCAAAGTAGGCCGTTGCTCGATCGTTTTCTCGTGATTTGAGGCATTGTCGAATTTTTGAATCGTTATAGAATTATATTCGATTTGAATAAAGTATAATATTTTTCTCGAAAAAATTTAATTTTGAATATTAGATTGATTTTTAAGAGATTTATCAAATATTTCAATTATAATAATAATTAAGGAAAATAATAATTAAAAACTTTTTGTTGGAATTGTCTATATTTCGAAACATTAAGTTAAAGAAGGTTTTTTTTTTGTGAATCTTAAATTATATAAGCTTTTTTCCCCTCGATTGGTAAAAATCCATGTCGAATCATTTTATCAAAGAAAGTATTTTCATTGTATCGATATAAATAGTTGAAGTTGTTCCATCAAATGGAAAGTAAAACTGTGAAATTATATTTGCCTCGAACAGACAGTTCATTTATATAACAGGTCGCACGTCTATTAACTTACGCTTATTATTAAATAGAATCACCTTTTCGTGACTTGAAATGCCATTAAACCTTCTACTCTCATCTCTGATATTTTCAACGAAAAAATTATTCGTATTTCGAATTTGTTTCTCATTTATGTAATGTATCATATCCTTATTAAGTTACGCCTATTGTTATACTCGATCATTTTCACATGCTTCGAACCATTACTAATTTTTTTTATCTTTTTTTCCAATCTGAATGTTGTTTCCATTTGAAAGTATATGGAAATCAATCAAAACTTTTCCTTCAAAGAAACCATTTTATTAATTACATTCATTTTTTTTAAATTATAGGTTTTTTTTTACATCTCAGAGCATTCTGCAATATCCCAGTTAATTGAATCAGGATACTTTACTTTTACAAAACAGTCAAAAGCTTTTAAAGAATGATCTTAAAGTGCTCTATATTAAGTTCCATTCCTGATGCTATTATGTTGAAATTTAGATTATCTTAGAGTGATTTTCATGATCTGTGCGTTCTGAATATTTAAAGTTATTTATTTATATATGGAATGCGTTTGAAATTCCAATAACTCGTTTAGTAAAGCTCGAATCATCTATTCTTAAGTAGATTACACAATCTGGTTATGCTCTAAGGAGCATTTTGTCCAGTGACTTTCTTTTGTCCTTTGGATTTATGTATATACTTAACAATGAATAAGGATTGATTTACTTATCGGGGAACAGAAAATTGTTTGTGAAATTATATGGATCTGATTAAATAGCTGATATTTTAATGTTCACAAAAATAGACAATGGAAACCACACTTATAAAGTTGTTTAAGACATTTAGGATTCGACAAAGATCGATAACATTCCAAAGTGAGAAAAGTTGCTATAATTAAAGATCTGAGAAATGAATATTAGAATTAAAAGAATTTCTTAGAATTCTATAGAAATCTAAGAAGTAGGAAATGATAAAGTGCATTTCAATCAAGATTTCAGCATATTATAATACATCACAGGAAATCAGAATATTTCAGAATGCATTTAATTTTAGAGACCTCTAAGTTATTGCATACTGTTTCAAATTTGAGATTCTTCAAGATTTTAAATTTATGAGAGCAAATATTTTTTAAGACTCAAGAACGTTTGATTACTAAATTTCTTAGAATCCAAGAACTTTTGATTTTAAATAAGAAGTTTCTTATGATTCAAAAACTATGATCAAAACTATGAGATTAAAAAAAATCTCTTAAAATTCAACAGTTTCTGATTTCAATTTGATCCAAGATTTTTTTTCTATCATCAATTTTTGTAAATGATTATTTAAAATTAAAATTTTTTTTGATCGAATTCGATATTGAAATCATTTGATCAAAATGATTCGATATTATTTTCATTTTAATTAATATAATCGGTAGCTAAATCGTACAACTAGTAATAATTTTTGAATCTACACGATTCATTTATATAACCCGGGGCAACTGGTTTATTAAGTTAGCACGCGTCGTTATACTCGTTCGTCAGATTACAATCGCTCCATCTCGTTCTTAGGCCACACAAAAAAGAGAAACTACGAAAGCCGCGGAAGCGAATTATTACACTTGGTAAGCGAACGGGTCACGGTTACAGTATTACAGTCGGCCATTCTCCAAATAGACAGTCTCTCGTTTCGATTGTTATTCCTCGAATTGTTCGAATAATTCCTTAGAGAAATTTCCATTTGAGAATTTATTTGAATGGTGGACAATTTTGGATGACGATTTTATACTATCTATGAAAATCGAAAATCGATGGAAATTGAAAATTAACTTGCACTTGGTTCATGGTGTAACTTTGACTGGTCCAAATCAGCTGCTTAAATGATTGTAAAAGTGAATCGCCAATTTCTCGCTAGTCGAAAGTCCTTTCTCGTGAGCTATAATTGCGACGACTCTCGCCATGTTTAATCGACAGTACGCGGAGAGAGGAGAAGCGTACGGTTACTTGAAAGTATTTAAAATGTCACGGGCGACGACCTGGCATTAAAACGATTTTCGTATCATCTTGCTCCATGGAATCGGAAAATTTGATATACGTTTATATAGGTTCAGTTAAGTTATGTACACTATCCGTCAAAAGTCGAGATTTTTTTTTTTCTTTTTTATAAGAAATTTTTGACTAGTTTTGTTATTGGCTTCACGTGCATTCAGTTTTATTCTTTAATTAAGCAGGCATTGAAAATTTTTTAAAAAAGTTAACTAGTTATATATATTGATTAAAAATAATATTGCATATCAGATATTTATTGAAAAACATATTATATGTTCACATTACATTATACATATATTAATTTTGTTTTTAGTTTGAACTTTTTATTTCAAATTCAAAAATTTAATATAATAAATTAGATTGTATGATAATGTTAAACATTAAGATGATTATTTTACAAATGATCTAAAAAATCTTTAAAAAAATCTATATTATATCAATATATTAACAAATTTCATCAATTTTACCAATTAACAATGAGAATAGAAAGTAGAGTTTAATTGAACTTCACTGAAACAATGTGTCAGGGTCACGAGATGACACGTACAAGTTGTAAGACATACGATATAACGGTTTTATAGTGTGCTGTGATTAAAAATACAACGAATCGACAGTTTACGAGTTACATAGGTCCCGCTGGCTAGTTGTGATCGATAGAAAAGAAAAAAGTTTACTTTCAATCGCGCGCAACATTGAGCTCTCCCTCACGTGGAGTTCCACGTGAACGTAGGTGGCCTCTCGATAGAATGCTGCACTCTCTGAAACGACTCGAATAACAATTAGGATGTCTAAGAGGGAAAAATAAACATGCATTGCTTCTTATTTACATTGATATATTTTTCCAAAATTTCTAATTTTGTATTGATAATAATATTATGATAAAAGAAAGATTTTTTTAAAATGACAGTATTAAAAAATTCTTTTCATTATATTTATTAATTTATAAATATATAATGAAATATATAATTTAAATAGTAATCAAATTTTTCACGTAATTGGTTTTCTAAAATCTTTCACAATGTAATTAATTTTTCCATACAATATGTAATTAGTACACATGAAAATGTCAATTGTTAATTATCATAACGTGTAAATTAAAATTCAGGTTAATATAGAAATAAATATAGATCAAATGGCAAGATAAAAATTATAAATTGGATTAGGCTAAGAGAGTTAAATATGTTCTATAATTCATATTGTCAATACAAGATCACTTAAAATTATACTTAATCTAATGTTTAGATCATTCATAATTATGTGTACTTCCGTCTATAACTCTCTTGATACTCAGTCAGCAATTTTAAAATATAGTTATTAAATGAAACTAACGTTTGTGACTAATCGCTTCTATTATAAAGGATCAGTTTAAATTACAATAACATAACGGAGTCTTTTATCTCTAGTGAAATATTCATTTGATTATAGTTAGGAAATAGTTAGAAATATTAAACTTTTTAATTCTTTTTTTTTTAAATATGAATTATCATAAGAGAATTTTTTAGAATTTCATTTTCGTTTTTATCATTCTTATCTTTTTATTATTTCTTAAATTTTAAAAATTTTAATGTTTTCAAAAAAAAAAGCTTCTTGTATCCACTATTTATTATTTAAGTAATTACAATAATTTTATTAGGTTACGAAATCAATAAATTTTTGGATAAAAACGAAATTTCAAAGAGACGATATTAAGATTCTTAACCTAAAAATTTTATAATTTAATTTATCTGATTTCTTTTTAATAATGTTATTAGTTATCTCAATTCAGGCCATTCGATCTTCCTAGAAACAACAAAAAATATCTATCAAAAAGATTAGAAATCACAAGATTACTTGAAGAAATAATTTTTTTAAAACATGTCGTAAGATCTTACTATCTTATGCAATGATCAATGGAGTCACCGAGATCTCTTTCCAAGATCTCTGTTTATCGGCGTTACGAATTTCTTTTCGAGGAAACGACTGATCACCGCAATCAACCGCAACTGCTATATTTTTTTATGCGAATGCAATTTCCATTAACGAATGATTTAGTTCGGTGACCTGTAGTAGATCTATGGTTGATTAACGAACACTCATCACGTATAGGTTAGGTTTTTCCCAATGCAGACATATACTTACTAAGTAGGTATACTTACGCAATATCTTCTCGATCTCCTTTGACTGCATTTTCGTACTATCTACCCATCAAGAGTTCCCGATAGAGGTCCAACGAAACCGCTTCAACCAACCACGAGTTATCTTTATTAGGCTGTTAACCAGACAGACGTGGTTGTCTCGGCTCCTGTCGAAGGAATGCTTGGTTCGAGTTTAGTTTCACGTTTATATTATTGCTACTTTTGTCAAGGCTTCGAAGACTAATTGGAAATAGCTTGTCAAGGCTTCTATGTTTAATAGAAGATCGTTTAATGGATTAGATAAAGGTTTTTTGTATTGGCATAATAAAATGATAGATACTATTCTGTTTATAGATATTGAAACATCATAAAGTATGACAATTGCGATAAAAATTAATTGATCATTTGAAATGATTTGAATATAATGTTAAATGAAGATGTTTATTTTAATTTTTGGACCTTGATTAAAAATAAAAATCCAACTAACGAAATCTAACCTCAAACATTTAACCATTAAAACCTCAACCTACTTATCACCTGCGTTGCCATAAGAATACCAACGACCACAAATGTCTGAGATGAAATAACTATGATTACATCTACGATTATCATCGATCTCCAAGAATAAAAAAGATGGTCGAGGACAATTCGATTGAAAGAACGATCACGATTAACAACGAGGTGTCGATAGATCGAACGCATAAAAACGATTTTAAATACTGCCAGAGGGCGCGCGATGACGTTATGTCTTCGATGACAACGAACGTCGAGGACGAAGGAGACGGAGAGAAGTGAAGTACATCGCGGAGTTGTACCCGAGTCAGTCTGTGTAAAGCTGTAACGCGCTGATACGGTGAAAGCTGATATTTTGTAACACTCCTGCCATTCCGTTCCATTCCATTCCATGGTATTGCCCGGTGCAGCCGTTCGCTTGCTCGCTCGTTCGCCTCTCGAACGGCCCGATCGTCTCGCGTAATCGAATGCGAGAACCCAGTGCCGGCAGCACAATGGTAGGCGCACCCAGAATACATTTTTCTCTTTATTCGCATCTACGTTCCGCGAGATCCTCGTTTCTTGGTAGATATATTAAATTAGATTGATACTCTCGATTTGGATTAAAGATAGGTTAAGAAGCCAATTATACGTTATGATTGTTTTTTGAAATGACATTTTGATTTTTCTAGGAATTTAATGAATTTTCTCTAATATTAAGAAGCATATAATTTTAAAAAATAGTTGAGTTTTCTCTATATATCCATCAACGAAAAAAATTAATCAAAATATAACCTCTTTAAAATTATTCAACTTTTATCTGAAACATTTTTTACTACGAAAAAAAAAATGATATAGATCAAAATGGTAATATCAGGTAAGATATTCTGTATGATTCGTTTGTTCTCAAATGTGTTTTCACTTTAACGTTTTCATCATACTTTTATGAGTTTTGTAGATTTACGATGTTTTGTAACACGAGCGCATATATTGTGTGTCGTTGTTCTCCGAAGTAACGTTTGGATTTTGATTTCTTTGGGGTTTGTTTTCACGAAGAGCGTTTCGAATGTATTATTTACTACCTTAGCTTCTGTGGTTTTGTAAGATTCAATGTGAAAGGCACTCTATACGACAATTATTCCTTGGGATGGCGTCTTAGAAGCTACTTTGTAGCTTCTGTAATTCTGTTTTGTGTGAAAGGTAATTCTGCATATTATGCGATGATCGTTTTCAAAGGTGTCTTTGAAGGTATTTATTTTGCTGTTTCTATAAACTTGGCTGATTCTATATTAAAAAGAATGTTATTACGTAATTTTTACTATCTGCAATAGTAGAACTTCAAGTTTTATAATAATAATTTTTAACCGATGTGTCATGATATATCACAGGAGTATACCAACTATAAATTATTTACTAAATATAAAAAGATTTATTAATATTTGTTAGTATTTATAAATGATGTTGAAAAATGTGATTCATAGATAAGATCAATTTGCCAATCAAAAATTGTTATTAGTTATCTTATTATTCCTATCGATATTAGTTAGATTAAAATGTTTTGTTCTGTTGTTTAATATTATAAGTATTTTTATATTTTAAGATATTTTTAAAGTATTTTTTCGCAAAAAATTTTTATTATGCTAAATTAAGATATTTAGAAACATTTAAAAATAATACTTGAGCGGATATACTTCCTCCTTATTATTTATTCATAAAATTTTATTATCATTCATCTTGTTCCCATTTTGTAAATAAAAATTCTTTAATAAATCTCGTTTAATAATAGAAAATTTTATATAACAATAGTAACAACTTTGTAAGATACTATGTGATTTTATGTGAAAGGCTACGTCGCGTATTACGCGATGAATGTCCTCCAGGGTGGCCACTTCTGTCATTCTGTGTGATTCCGTGTGAATCGTACACGGAATACGGGAACTTGTTTTCACGGCCACAATAAATCTAACCTCGAAATCGTGTCGAGTTATTTAGGACGAGAGACACATCTTTAATTTTATATAAGATAATTCTTGAATAAAGTAGTATTTGAATTTCTTTTTTTAAATTAAATTGATTTTATTGAAGATACATTGATATGAATCTGTTCTATGATAAAAGAAAAACTTTAATTAGTATACAAAGTAAATCATTCATATAAAGGGAGCACGTTTTCCTTTTGTTAGTTATAATTTTTGTTCACTTCATGATTTTTAATTAAATTAACAATTTTACTTATTTCGATAAATTTTCTTATAAAAGAATTTTTCATTATAATTTTTTTTTTTAATCTTTACATTTTGTAAAATGTATCAATAATTCAAAACTTCAATTAATTAAACGCTTGATAAAATTTCGTTTACATAAATGTAATTTATTTAAATAGAGTTTTGCTATAAATATTTCTAAAAAGATCGTAACCGAACAGATTATATATATTGGAATTCGAAAACTAATTTAAGTAGAAATAAAACGTTTCGTTCAAAATGAATTTTTGATTCCATTCGAAAAAAAAAAGAGAAATAAAAAAAATTACAATATTTTAAAAATGTTAATTTTCGTTTGAATTTTGTCCGTTATTATTGTAATATAAATATATTTGGAAGATAATTAAAATGTTAAATTGAATTTTGAATATTTTTTCGATTATATACACTAACAACTAAAAGTTTGGAATCATTAATGTATTCCTAGAATTCAAAAATTTAAGAAAAGTTAAGTTAGGATATTGTAGCGCAAAAAATCTTTTCTTTTCAGTGTAAATGGAAGATCGAGAATCTTCAAGAATACCATCGATTCCAGACGAAGAAATTTTATAAGTAAATCTGAGAATGAAGTTTTGTGATTCTTCAAGCGACTGGGATCTTGATCTACAGTCCAGTTAGTAACGCATACAGAGAATTTTGATAAGTCATTGTCTTGGTAATTTGCATTGACGAACCATTTACTGTTCGTTCAAATATTATTTCACGCTCTTCAATGTTTAGCTACGATGATGTCGTGATGTAAATCACGTTTCAAAGTGCAATTTATGTGTTTCAATGATGGGGAAAACGTGTAGCAATTTATAGTGAAGTAAATTCATTGTAAAGAACTGGTTTTAGTATGTTCTACAAGGAAGACAAGAGTTTTTTTTTGTTATTTCAAAATCAATAGACCTTCTTTTTTTCTTTGAAATATTTATTTTTTATTAAAAATAAAAATCTTAAATAAAAATGATTATATATCATGTTACTAACTAAAATATTCTTATAGTATTTTTAAAATAAATCATATCTACAATAGAAAATATTTTAAAAATAATTATGTTTCTTTTTTTAATATGAAAATAGAAGAAAAAGTTAAAAGAGTTTATTTTTTATTTTTAATTTTCTATTTTTTATTGATTTTATATCTAATAAAGCCAAGAAAAAAAGAAAGCCAATAAAATAATTAAAATAATTCTATAAATAGTAATAAATTTTTTTAAATTCTTTTTTATCTATTTTCATTTCAGATAAAATTATTTGAGATGACATGAAATATGATCAAGCTTATACACATCCACATTTTCAACACGACACCCCTGCAAAACAATGTCTCAATTGACGTTATATTATTCCTCGTAGCGTAACGTCATTTGTGTCCCTGTTCAATTATCGTGCCCATCTAGAGTGAAAACAACTTTGAACGTTTTCCACGTGCAATTTACACGAGAAACAATTTAGCATTCGAAAGTCGAATGCAGATCGATCAGTTCAATAGTCATACATGTTTTAAATATTCAGTATCGGAAAATGTGCGTAACCTTGATACGAGGAAGTTTGAAGAAGGTAATCGCTTCAGTAAAAATGCATTTTATATGCTATTTGCGTATATATCTGCTTTGAATGATCGTTTAATTTTATCTTTTCGTTCTAGACAGAAAAAATGAAATTATTTAAGAAATTGATAATCGATTCAAATTTCATTGTTCATAAAATTTTCTAGAAATTATTTATTTTCTTAGTCTTTAGTTAACTATTTTAAATTTTATTAAAATATTTTTTTAAGCAAATTTGTAAATTATCTATTCTAATCTATTTATCTTTTTTAATGAGCAAAACGATGATCATTATTCCAATATGGCCGAATAATATAGCTAAACTTTATTAACTATTAGAATTCAAAATTTAGAATCTATTATAATTCATTAGAATATTTTAACATTCATAGCTTATTATCAATCTCATATATAAAACTCAAAAATGTGTTGTAAATTTTTTACGAAATATATACTCCAAATATTATTAAATAATTCTATTTTTCATCTGTCAAACATCATATTTCAATCAGTTTCTAAAAGATTTATAATCATAACATAAGAAAATTCAGCTATATTGAAATAACGAGCACCATTTCATCCATTGCTCACTATTCAAGCTTCGCTGATTTATTTATTTTAGTTACATTATGGTTACATAACACGGTCATTGCTCGTGCTAAGGAATGCCAGGATCTTTCGATTTCTTTCGTTAATTGCACGACAGAAAGCCGTGTAATCTGCCCACGATGGACAAGACTCTTTCCTTGATATTATTACGTAAAACCTTTCTTTTATCTTTTTTTCGATCCCAACTGTGAAAATCGATTCACTCGTACGAATCGAATCGCGCAACTCGATCGACAAAACCTTGGACGCGTTTACAGCGCCACCACT